GCGGCGGGCGGAGGGAGAGAGCTCGCCCGCTGCCCCCAGCCCGGAGCCAGAGCAAGGGAGACGAAGGGGGGGAGAAAAGTTCTTCAGAAGTTGTTTCTGGAGGAAAGAAAGTGGCGGGTTGCACGGTGGATATTGAGCTGCTCCCCTTTCTGCTCCGCTCATCCCGAAGCCGGCAGCAGGACGCGGAGATCCCCGGTCCCGTCGCTCCGCTCCCTGCGGCCGGTGCGGAAGGGTTTCTCCCGGTTTCTTCTCCCGCAGTCCTGCTTCTCGTCTCCAGGCCACAGCCTTTGTTTTCCGCTTCTGTCTGCTGGGAATTCTTCCGTACGGCCGTTGGTCACCGGCCTTGCCGCCTGTGTTCTGTCGTTTCTCCTTGTCCAGGTGCAAAGAATCGCACTGCAGACAATCTTTGCAGTTGATGTAAAGCCATTTTAATACTTTTATTCTTTTCTTCGTGACTTTGCACCCATCCTAACCCTTTATCTGCTTTTACCTATTACTGCACGCCGAGCAGAGACTATTTATCAAGCTATCGCTAACGATACGTAGATTTTCTTCCACTCTTCGATGCGGAATCCAGCCACAGCCACCACCATTTCTAAATATTCAGTCCCCTTCCAGTGCCTGTCGGCACCGACCGCGGCACTGCCTTCTTGCGCCGTGTTCGCTTGAAGGGCTCTGTAACCTCCAGCGCTCCTGTCGCCCTCTGAACAGCTCCCGAGTCGCGATGTTTTGATGTAGCGGTGATGAAAATGGTCGTCCCGACTGGGAAGCCGTGCTGACCGTTCCCTGGCCTGCAGCTCGTTTCTCAGCGCTGAAGCATCGCTTCGCGCCCGCCAGTTACTCCCGAGTCGCGATGTTTTGATGTAGCGGTGATGAAAATGGTCGTCCCGACTGCGAAGCCGTGCTGACCGTTCCCTGGCCTGCAGCTCGTTTCTCAGCGCTGAAGCATCGCTTCGCGCCCGACAGTTACCTGCCGGTGTGTCTGCCGGTACAGGGCTGCGAAGAGAGGTGGTGTTTGGTCGGTTTTGTTCTGGTGGGTGTTTATCCGAAGCCTGGATAAACTCCTTCGGTCCTCCGGCAGGCGGGGAACACTAGTGTGTTAAAAAGGTCGGGGTTTCTGCTACCAAACATTGATCTGTCGTTACATAGAAGAACTGGCTGAATGGCAGAGCTCAGAGGGTTGTCATCAGCGGCGCTGAGACTAGCTGGAGGCCGGTAACTAGTGGTGTCCCTCAGGGGTCAGTACTGGGCCCAGTCTTGTTCAACTTCTTCATCAATGACCTGGAGGAAGAGTTAGAAGGTACCCTCAGCCAGTTTGCTGATGACACCAAACTGGGAGGAGTGGTGCATAGACCGACAGGCTGTGCTGCCATTCAGTGAGACCTGGACAGGCTGG